GCCCTCTCCAGCCCCTGGCCTGATGGTTGTCCCTAATGGCTTGGTCTAGGGACTGTGCACTGCAGCAGTCCCCCAGCTGCCCTGGGGCGGTGAAAACCTCCTTCCTTCTGCTCCTCTGGCCAGTTCCTTCTCCTCTGGCCAGTTTGGAGCCCCAAAGGGAAGCTACTGGTCAGAGGCAACACATTACAGTTCTGTAATGTCCTGCGGTGCCCTTCACTAGGTGATCCCCCTCGGCAGCCTTTTATCTAGGGACTGTGCACTGCAGCAGTCCCCCAGCTGCCCTGGGGCGGTGAAAACCTCCTTCCTTCTGCTCCTCTGGCCAGTTCCTTCTCCTCTGGCCAGTTTGGAGCCCCAAAGGGAAGCTACTGGTCAGAGGCAACACATTACAGTTCTGTAATGTCCTGCGGTGCCCTTCACTAGGTGATCCCCCTCGGCAGCCTTTTATTAGGGGCCCGATCCCGTCTCCCATTGAAATCAATGGCAAAACTCCCACTGATTGATTTCATGGGAAGCAGGGGCTGAGCAGTGAGGAGAGCAATAGCCGTGGAAAGGCAAATCACCACCCAGAAGATTCAGATAGGAACGCTATCTGCTCGCCTGGGGTGTGCCTAGGCTTGCGCCTCAAACTGTAGTCTGCTGCAGCGGTGAGTAACAACACACTGGGATTCTAAGTAGCCCATTGGGGGGTCCATTAAAGTCGAGGTTCCTTCGACTGTGAACTTGCTACACACAAGCAAGGCCGGGGTACTGCCAGTGGTCACCTGGGCTCATGATGTTAAAATAACATGCAGGCTAGAGACTTTTTACCGCAAGCTGGGGTGATCAGCGAGGCGCAGCAAAAATCTGTCAGGTGCCTGCAGGGCCATCCCAAGGAAACTTGGCTGGTCTACATTGCAACTCTGCTGTGTCATACTGTACCTGAAGTTTCCCATCACAGCCGCATCTTCTTTTCTTGGTTGTTCCACAGTGTAAGACCAACTCAAGACTGCCAGAAAGATGTTTGTCTGGGGGGAGGGGATCAGTGTCATTTGTGTTTAAATATATAAGCTGTAGTAGATGTCTCAAGAGGGCAGAAGAGAAGAAAAGGGCTCTAGCCTTTAGAGAATATATCCACGTGTAGCATGTCGAATGATCTGTGATTGGGGGGCGGTAGGGATGGGAATGGGAGGCTGAAAAAGAGGAAGAAAGCCCCATTTTTAATCTAACATTTCACATAATTGCAAAAACTGAACACTAGCGTTAATATGCAACTCTGCGTATAAGTGTTTTGGTTTTTTGGCCAGAACTATTTAATGACAGTACCATGTACCTACCTTTACAAAGTTCACACATATCACACAGCGCGGTGATGCAGTAGCATGTTCAGTTTGACAAAGGCTATAGTAGGGTTTTTTGGGTTATTTTTTGTGTCGAAGGCAAATCAACCCCCAAAATAAAGGGGAAAAACACACTTTCCTCATCTGCTCCTAATGGACGTTTGGAAACACTAAGCCAATCATGGAGCGACACTGCCTTTTAAAACAAGCAACGCAGCCACAGCAGCATAGCTCCGGAGTTGCCCTCCCAGTGTTAGCTTAATTTCCAGAGAATATCATGTAAATATCTGATTTCAGCAAACATTCAAGCATAGCCAGGGGTATTGCTCGCATTCCTACCATTAACCCGAAGAATCTAGCCAAGTTCTTGTGTCTAGCACATAAACCACATACATTCCAGGAGAGAGGCACTTTCCCATTCTCGTTCCCACCATTCAGTGGAATGTGAGCAATACCTTTCTCATGTTAAATGAATGGTTTGGCTCCGCTCTAATTCCACGAGAGGACGTAGCTGCATATGCTAGCCGAGCACAGACCCTTCCTTTGGCTTCCCGCTTCGATAGCGTCCCTGTAGTAGGTGCTACGTTTTAATTTGATCTCCGTATGGAAGCAAGGTTTGATATAGAAGATTGATCAGAACTTAATCGTTCCAGGTATTATTTATTTTGCCAGTAGTTATGACTACTTGCCTCCCGAGTGATATGAAAAGCGACAGGCAGGGAGTGAACCCAGTCGGAGCCCAAAAGACTGAGAAGCGACAGACAAAAGTTTTATTCCAGGTGATAAAGTCATTGCCTGGAGCCTACGTTTGTGTCCAGGAGCTTCTCGATTTCCTTCTCCACTTTCTCATTGCACTCTCCTGCCTTCTAAAAGTTTAGCACTTTATCCGTAGAGCCTACCTCTACAAATAGCTCTCAAAGAAAAGCAATCTGTTTCAATATTTTATAAAGACGATGCGGTGGAATATTCAATTATGTAAGCCCTAAGTGAGAAAATGTTCTTCAGATAATATGGCATCCCTCCCCTCTCCTTCCAGGCAGATCCTGATCCTTTTGGACTGGACTGAGGTGGAATTCATATTGTTGCCTGAATTAATAAATTTAAAAGGCAAGGGGAAAGCTTATGTTCCATTTGCCCCTCTCCCCCAGCAACAATATACAGAAAATGTTGTGGGATACCTCCTCTGACCATAAAAAGTTCTTCAGGCTCAGTGCTCTGAAGGAAGGTAATTTCCCCCTCAAGATAACTACTAATATGACATAGCTGCAAGTTCCTTCCCAGATCTAAATGTGATGATTTGGAGCTGAACCTTGATTAGCAACGGTCAGGTTGGCTTGAGTGGGAATTTTGCTTGCACAAGGCCTACAGGAATGGCTCCTTCTGCATTTCTCTGCATGCTTACAAGCACTTTTCCTGCCAGGATCAACCAAGGAGGAGAGATAATCACTCCCTTCCAGCACCCACATCCATGGGGTTGTTTTCCACACCATCATTCTTCTGTGGATATTTCATTGCCTGTGTGTTGACAAAAGCAGCTGGAATAGAAATTGACAAAATACTTCAGTTTCTCTCAGGCTGGGGTACCTGCTGCTTTGTCTCCTTCTCTGCTTGCCTGTTGGTATGACAATCAGGGGCAGCTGGTAATTTCAAAACAAGAACAAATTAAAATTAATAATTATTAATTGTATCTTAGATTAATATACATTTATTTCAGGGGGATCAAAATAATAGATCTTTCAATATCTCAGGGATGGTAGAAGTGGGTGAGTACTTGGTAAAAGTGTGTGAGGGCCAAAATTTTTTATGTAGTTACATATTCACACATGACTGAATACACCCTTCTCTGGGGGGAGGGATATTGTTGTCACTTTCTGACAGCGCACAACACTGCTGCCTAACCCATTTGGACAGAAGGGAAAGCAGAATACTGTGTGAAACTGAACTTGCACCGGGAATTTCTGTAAACAGGGTATAATGACTGGAGTGGGAATTTGATGAGGACATGCAAGATTTGTCTGCTCTGGGGACATTTGCCACCTGTGTATCTACCAATATAGTTGCCCAAGTGCAAACCTTTAGTATAGATATGATGCACAGGTTGTCATTTGTGACTTCCTTATCTTTCCTCGCCAACTGTTGTTACCATCTTGCTGCACTGGGCAAAATAGTACAAGGAATGTTTTCTAGTGATATGCACTGGAGCAATTGCATGGGTAAAGCTCAACTAATGGCGCAATCCCAGATTAGAGAAGGCCAGACACTGGATTCTGGGATTATTTAATTACCAAAAAGTTGGTTAAAACTTTATTTTTACATTTCATTAGAAAATCATCATCTCCAACAGCACCAGGCATAGAGTGAAGAACACCTTCCTGACCTGCCAAAGCCAATTCCTGAAGCAGTGCCCTGCATTTTCCCTTAAGGCATGCCTCTCATGAGAGCTGATAAGATAAAGGTTAGTGCCTTACATTTTTCTGCCTTTACTTTATAGAACACTGAGTCACATATAGACAAGGGCCAAAACCATACCAGGCTCAGAGCTCATGCCCAGTATGAGGAACCCCCCCGAAAAACTAAGTTGAACCTTTACCTAGTCAGGAAACAAATGAAATTGTTTAAATAGGTAGGATATTTGCAGAGTCAAACCAGATCATCTGGGGGTATATTAAGATGGTGAAATAAGCAGTCTGATTTTTACTGTAACTGCTTTTAGTTCCCCTGTGGTTTTGATACACAGTTTTGTGCTCATCTCAAAATAGCAAAGTTGATCTTAATGTGCAAAAGGGACATTTCTTTTTCTTTCCTCACAGTAAGCTGATGATGTGATGTTCCTAATACCGAAATACATTAGAAAACCTTTAGGGGGTTCTGTGAAAAAAAAGGAAAGGCTATTAATCTGAACAGTGACTTCAGTGTACATATTTACATATGCAGTGTTTATCTAGTAGTGAGCCACATTAGCCAAAATCTATAAAACCACACTTGTGTACAAAGTTGTATGGAAAATATGTAAAACAAGGATTTTTAATTACTGGCAGGTCATTCAGAAGATTTTATATTTCACAAAGACATGTTTAAAAATAATTTGATTTATTCAAAGGATAATTCTTTTCTAAAGTCTATGATAGGCTGCTTTATTTGCGTAGCCATGGTATTTAGAAGATCTTTATTTCGTAGTAAAGATCATAATTATTAGAATTAGATAGTTCATTAAGGGCTTTCATGCTATATTTGATGTATGAGTGGGTGGAGGGAATTATTATCAGGTAGGAAAATAACATCATTCTACATGCTTAAAAATCCAGTAATCACAACACTGACTGATGAAGATGGGCAGTGAAAGAACTCAGCCTCATTCTCAAGCTACTGAGAGCTCCACAGAACCAGGATCATTGACTGTGCTGGGAGTTTTGCCTCAGTGAGGAGTGACAGCCATGTCCTACAAACCTTACTCATGAGAGTAGTCCTACTGACATGGAGCCCTAAGTAAGGATACAGGAATAAGGTCTTTGCTCTCTAGGGGAACATCCAATAAAACTAGAGGGAAAGGGGACTAAAAGCGTGATCCTATAAATCTTTCCTTGTGAGAGTAGTTCCATTGACTACGGTGCTATTCACTGTAAAGACTTTTCACGCAAGGGGGTTTTCAGGACAGAATCAATTGCCTTGTAAAACAGTGATACAATTAAAGGAACAATTATATTTTTGAATTAGACGACTTTTCAATAGGATGAACAATTTCTGCGAAATTATTCTAATTATCTATTTTAATTCTTCTTGAGAGCTCTCAGTCATTGCTTCAGAGGAATAATATGTCGAACTGCAATTAGTTTATGAGGCTGATTATAACTACAGAAAAACAATCTGGGAAGTCAGGAATAATTTACCAGGAAATTCATTATTTAATTGTTTAACGTAGACGTTTAATTATGGTTGCATATAATTATTATGCAAATATCACTGCGATCACTTTAAGAGGTTATTTATAAAAGCGTACCTAAACTCTGAAGCAGTCTGAAAAGAATCCCCCCCTCTTTTTTTTTTTGCTTTGCTTCACAAGTCTCTCAAGTACACTATATGTTTTAACTTAAACCAAAGTATAGCCAAGGGCAGCTGGAGTTCCAACAGTGACCAGTGTAATACTCAGTGCTTTTAATTACTGTAGCAATAAATCACACAGGAATGTCCTCCAGGAACTAAATGATTTTCTAAAAACATTTGAGAATATTTTTTGAAATTCAATTAATTGAAGGCACCAGATAAAAGGTACACATTCTTAATGGCTATAAAGGCACCCTAAGGGATGAAACTGAGCTCCAAGCTTAACTTCAAAGTGTGACCGAAATACTTACTGTATTACTTTAAAAGTATTCAGATCAATGAATCAGTTAAGATTACTTATACATTTACCAACCTTTTCATTTTCTGTTTGAGTATGATAGAAAGAATTGCTCTCGTTTCCCATGGTACAAAAAAAAAGCTGTTGAGACCTGTAAAAGAAATTGTAATTAAAGCCAGCCTTCAGTCAAAACTGGTATTATGAATTTTTAGTTGACACAAGATAAAGGCCAGCAAGACATAAAAGTGGCTTTAAAAAATGAACAATTTACATATTTGATACAAAAAAATCAGGTTTGTGTAAATATTTCAGGCTCTGGGGTTAAATCCTGGCCTTATTGAAGCCAATGGAATTGTTGCTATTAACTTCAATAGAGACAGGATTTCACCCTTCGTAGTTTGCTTTCAACCAAATTCTGACTTGCAACCAAATTCTGTTTTGTTTACTCATGAGAATGGCCATGTGAGTTTCCATAATGATTTGGTCATGCAAGGTGCTGAACAGCTCCTGAAGGCAATGGATACCGTCCGTCGCCATGGTAGTAGTTTGATGGTATATGCATGGTAATGATCAGCACCTGGCAGAATTGGGTCCTAAGTAATTAAAGCATGCAGGATTGGGCTCACTGTTCATAAAATATAAGAGTTTATGGGGAAAAAAAGAGCTGAAAACTGAGAAGTGGTGCATATAGGAACGGTAAAGCACTGTAGTATACTTAGGTAAAACGTGATAACCCCAGCCAATTTTTAATAGATTAGTGAATTCTGATCAGTTCTCATTTTCCCTTTGTATTCTTCTATTTTAACTATGTTTCCACTTACACAAATATCTGCATTACATGAAACTGGGTGCTAGTTTTATAGGCATTAGGGTTTTTTTATTGTTTCAGGTGATAAAGTCCAATACAGGCAGTCCCCGGGTTACGTACAAGATAGGGACTGTAGGTTTGTTCTTAAGTTGAATCTGTATGTAAGTCGGAACTGGCGTCCAGATTCAGACACTGCTGAAACTGACCGCCAGTTCTGACTTACATACAGAATCAACTTAAGAACCCCAGGCGTCCCCAAGTCAGCTGCTGCTGAAACTGATCAGCAGCTGATTCCAGGAAGCCCGGGGCAGAGCAACT